GAATTCACTGTTGATTGACACTTTCGTTTCTTAACATTCCCATTTCAAGTGGCCCATTTGAATAATGTTGAAAAACTCGATAATACCGCAATGATTATTATCTGTATTATCTGCGATTCGACTAGGACTTGTGAAAACTTGGCAATTGTTGAAGCTTATAGTTATTTCGTGGTAAACAAATTAAATGAAGAACATAGATATCAATTTGTCACTCGTGTCAAACTTTCTGAATCGCAAAAGACACCGAACTTTATTGCGGATCGATCTTGTTTCGATCATTCGCCTAGTAGTAATGATTGCTCTCTCGTTTCTTTTCCTTATACATATCTGTACGAGTTCTTTGCGTAACAAAAATTATTTCTAAAGTTTTCCGAGATTTATCGTTTTGCTACGCGATATAACTAAGTTTCACAAAAGTTTAATATCGAGCGTATAAAGTAGCAACTTTGAGATGTAAATTAAAACTTCCGAGTCTGATCTTAAACTTGCACCTATGACACGAAGTTTGAAGAAAGTATAGCCTTTTTTTTTGTGCTTGTCAAATTTGAAAAGTGAAATTTCGTTATAACGAGTGTTACTCAAATTAGCTCTTGGCACCGATATTACGTAGCTCAGAGACATGTTGAAGTGACGAGAGATAATCAAAACAAATTGCTGCGTTATACCCACGGGAAAAGTAAAATACCCTGGAAGCTATATAGCATTTTATTAGGTAATTTCGCGCTAGGCGGATACTTATAAATTTTGAAACACCTTGAATGTAGGGGACGCAAACGCTTTATAGTGATTTCTTGAAGTAAAAGCTGCTTTATATTCAAATTACTCTTTCATATTTTACCGAATTACTCTATTAGTAGATCATTACATAAGTTTGTACATTTTTTTACTCTTAACTGTGTCGAAGCAAACAATTTTATATCTCCAAATTCTACTTCTTATCCGATCTTTATGTAAAGCAGTTGAAGCACTTCGTATTCAAATACTATAAATTGAAAATGTTTTTAACTTATTTACACATATTGAAACTATCAGGCTACTTGAACTTTCTCTCTTTTCATTTTATATTTTTTCATAATTTAAAATTTGCTGATTTGTTTATTCCATGAATAAAAGTGTTGAGTAGTTTTACTCAAAAGAAAAAATGTGTCAAGATAAATCACGAAATAAAACTTCTTCTTAAATATAAAATCTCTGGATACCAACTCAAGTACTTGAAAGCTACATCACATTGACGATTGAAAGTGCCAAAACCACAATTTCTTGAAATATAGCTATAAAATCGATCTGACCAGCACCTAATCGGCTTGTAAACAAGTCGATCGGAAGTCCTGCATCGTCTCGTTAGCGTTACTACGAGGTCATCGTCTGGATGCGAAGTCAAGCTTGTTGATTCTACCAAAGAGCTGCATATGCGGGCGATCAGCTAGGAATCAATTGTATACTCAAGCTGTCGCTAAACTGAAGTCTTGGAGCGAAGGACGAATGATATTGACCGTAACGCGATGGCCCACTAACAACGTGTAATTAGATTTGGAATTGTTCAACTGCTCACGATTTATTTGTAGTTGAATGAGATCAGAATACATTTCTATCCCATAATTTATCAATGAGCAAATATATTTTCTGTGTGCAAATGTAAATGCAACAAGGGAAAAAGTCAAGATATATTCATATATGCGAGCCCAATGCAAAATCTAATCTTTTTGCGGAATAAGTGCAGTAAACCAGTGTGAAAAAACTCCGAGGAATGGTGCAAGAATTTTCTCTTTTTCTTACGACATAGATAACATAACAATAAAATTTTACCTCGGTATTTGCACTCACAACCGTTTATACAGTTTTCTTTTGTTGTGTATCTGCACACGCGCGGTACTATTCATTTGCTCCTGCGGCCGTAATGTTTCATGATTTATATCCGACCCTCCCTCCAGTCCGCTCAGTCTGTATTTTTCATGTTCGTTACCGAATTCGCATGCGATTACACTTAAGTGTCTCTTTTCACGCGCGAACTGTACTTTCATTTCGCGTTCTATTCTTATGTTTCAATGAATCACGCGGAGCTCATTTCTTTTGTGACTCTTCTGAAAGAATTGTTCTCCGCGAATAAAAGCTTTTATACGGATATCGTATTTGCGATTCACAGTGTATAGAGTTGTTCTATTGTAGAACGGGAATTCCTAGCACAAAATTAATTGAAAGAAAAATTCGAAATTGCTTTGAACAAGCATACTATTACGGCTGAACGTGATTTCTGATAAACTGAAACTTTTCTTGCCAATCCCACAGTCTCAAGTTGCCCGCTATAAAAGCTAACGTCCTCTTTATTTCACTCTTCTCCAATGAAGCACACGTCATGTCTACTTCATAAAATCCGCGCACCGGTCGCAAACTCCAATATTTTCACGCGATCGCCGCCGAAAAAAAAATGGTATCCTCTGTTGAAAAGCCGGATACGCTGCAACAAAAAACTTTAATACCACCATCAAAACATAGAATGAAGCGGACGTCAGACATCCTCGAGCTCGAGTATCATCGTAAAATAACGAACCACGTAGCTAAAGGCATCCCCGGTAGTTGAACCGCGCTCGCGCGTTCGCTCGTAAAACTGCTTGCGCAAACTTTTCCGCAACAGCGCGCGTACACCGATTATGCACAGAATAGTTGAGACGAAATTTGCAATGCGGCCGAAATTCGCTTGCTGAACGACAACAGCTATGGCGAACATGTTCTCAGAGGATATTGCGTTGTTTACTCGCCACAACGGAGGTGAAAGTTCGAGCTGGGGTGGCGAATCAGTTTTTGCGTGGACCTTATATGATTACGAATGAGCAGTTGAGTTTAATAGTAACAGTTACGTTTTATACGTATACTCTGAGATGTAATAAAAACATACGTCGCACTTCAGTAGCAATAAGGCCTTTGTCTGTTAACCTCGTCGACCTATTACACGCAATGTCATCGCTTATCAAAGTTCAACGGGTTCAGCGACAAGCAAGGAAACAAACCAATACCAAAAAAACATCGAAACATCGTTTGTCGTAGAGTCAATTATCGAAACAAATGTTTTTTTATGCATAAAATCCATGCTGAGACATCTGTCTTCGCGTGGAAACAGACAGAGAATGGAATTTCATTATCGGTTTTATTTGCCTTTCAATTATAAAAGACGTAGAGTGAAACGTGGCAGTTGTTTATCATCGCGGCAGCAATTTAAATGACAAAGAGGGCAAATCAATGGGTTTGCAAATAAACAACCCTTGACTTTGCAAACTATCCTTGACCTAATTTTAATTCCGTGTCATTGGTTGATTGGATGGCAGAAGCGGGATTGATGTTTTTGTAGCAGCGTGTCGCACAAACTTGCATCTAAACGCAAATACATTTGTTGATTACTACTTGTGAATTTCTTTATGACAGGCCACGCGATGTTTATCGAGTACGAAAATGAAACAAGACTTTTCAATTTGAAACGGCATTTCAGTTCGCGCGAAGGGAAGAAAACCTCGTAAAAAAATTCCTATCTCGCTGTGTCGCCAAATATACATGATATCCCTCGGATCAAAACCGCACATCCAACATCCCCGACTACCAGCTCATATATATCCCAAACAAGCCCCATGAACCTATACGTTACGAAGAAAAATCGATCGTAACTCGAGAATTCGCAGATACTTCGATATTAAATACGCGCCGTACAGAATAGATAACAAATAAATAAAAGGCGAGTTGTAATTAAAAATGTCGCGCATAGATTACCAATATATACGAAGGCTCAATGTCAAGTGATATGACGCAACTTTGAAAAAGACGCGATGGCATGCTGTTGGTGAGACACGCGCCAAGGAGTTCTTGGATTCCAATGGAGCATCCGTAGACCCCCGCAAACAGCGCGGTCAGGGTCAAGATGCCCGCAACTGCGGCGACGGCTGCTTGCCTATCTATATCCGACGCGCAATTTCTGTCTCCATTCAATTTGTCACTCCCCCCCTCCCCGCTGCCAGTTTATTAGCGCGTGTACGCGTGTGTACTGCGCATTCTTTTTTCAGTAGTCTTCGAAAAGGTTTGAGTTCTGCGGATTTTTTTACGCACAAAATTTACGTCACGAAGTTGGCAGTTGAATTAAATTTTGTGACAGTTAGCACAGTGTAACGTTGAACGTGGTCGGAAGTTTTGATTGGGTAGATAAACGTAATTAGAAGTCAGTTAACGTAACGAAATGTCAAAATTATTCGCAAGCTGTCATTTTATTTTGGAAAGCATTGTCTGCGCGTAATCCCTTTTACCTCGCGGCATCTCAAAAATAGAAAACACTCGAGCTAGTCAAAGCCAACTGTTGATCGGCCGTGGCGTCGAAATATCGCGATAAGTCAGATGGAGAGAGAAAAAAACCCGAACACTGTACAGTTAATTTCGAAATCGATTCATTCTCGACCAAGTGGAATGCGATGGAATTTCACTCCATATTCCAGACAGTGGAGAGGGAGGAAACCACTGATTTATCGGTTCGTTTAATCAACTGTGAACCTGCTAATGTATCATTATTTCGGCCTCTGGAAAATTATAACGAATTGTTGCATTTATATCTTTGCGCTTATCTTATGATAACCGATGAGTAGAATAACAAGAAAAGCAAATGCCAAGATCTGTCATTTATCTTTTCCAAATAATCCAAAAATCGAATAATATAGTATTATTGATATTTTCTTGGAGATAAAATATGCGTCGGTAGATCAGTAGTTTGGTCAGGCGCATTCGAGTGGGCTTCTGCAAAAGTTTGACTAAGCTCGAAACTATGAGTAGACTCGAGTCCCACGAGCTTTCGAACTATTTCGTGTACTAAGCTCATGAATTTTCAATATTCCGTGTCGTATATGTAAATCTTTCTAACTTTTGTATTTTGTTTTTTTTTTTTTGCAAAAGACATTATGCCCTCGAAACCGTTAATCATGAAAATGAAAAATTTTGTGAAGCAGAAAGCGCATAAAAACGAGAAAACAAACCTGCTTGACCGTCTTGACGACGGACATGATGCCTGTGAGGGAGTTCTTCTGCATGTTGGCGGATTGTCGTTTGGTAGACGAGGGAATAGCTCAACCGAACGAACGATCCGCCAGCTTAGGGCCGACGTAATAGTGGCCCTTGAACGTCGTCGAGCTGCTGCCTTTCCACGCCGCCGACATAGTTTCTTTCTCGTTTCGTTGGAGAAGGGGGCCGTCGACCTTCAATTCTCCCACCAACCTCCAGGCAGAGAAGAAAGGAGACGGAGAGCTGCAAGATAAGTATACAAGAAGTCAATTGTCAATTGTGCTTATTGCAGAGTTATATGTGGTAAGGAAGACAACTTGTTTATTTATGACATTTTAGTTGGGAGAAAGGAATACAGCTACCATTGGTTTCGTTACCAGACAGGATGTAAAGTAAATAATTGTTTTGTTTCTGTAATAATATTTCCAAAAGACTCATTGTTTATTATGTGTTTTCAAGCAATCTGTACGAAAACATTTTCGGTAAAATAACGCCATGCTGTTTCTAGTAAAAGATAATTGATGTCAAATTCAATTTTGTATAACTACATCGTAACAAATTTAAACAGTACAGCGCTGGCAAAACGTTAAAAATAAGTTTTTATTATCTGCTCAGGCAGTGTTTGATCTACTCGTTAACAGGTCTCAGAAAAACAGATTTTCACTTTCTTTCGCCGTTTCGACACGAAAATCACAAACAAGCACGCAAAAAAGAAGGCATACGTGAGCAGGGTTCGTTGTCCCAAAATTAGAAGTTTGACTGTTAGATAAAGGTACCTTTCGTTTGTTTATAATTTGGCCGCGTAAATTATAAAATTTGAATTCGTGTACAAGCAAAAAGCTTTCTCTTATTTTCTTAATTGGATGAAGAGTTAACGCAATAAATTGAAATTGCACACATTCCCGGAAAATCTTAATAAGGCACGAATTATTCCAATTATTACTTTGAACCGTCGGACAGCCGTTGGACAAACATAACGAAGCAGCGCATCCTCCCAATAACTTGTGTTCACCTAACAAGACAGAAAGAGAGAAAATGACAGAGTAAAACCAGGTCAATGCTCATCGTCGAGCGCTGCTGCCAGCAATTACACTCAAACTGCGTGTGTAAGTCAGAAAAGAGCTCCATCGTGCAATTGAGAATTTTCGAGGGGAGGAGAAAAGGTTAAAATTGAAGGTGGCGAACGAGCGAGCGAGAGTTTGTCGGAATTACAGCTCTTGGCGGAAAATGAATAGTAAAGTTTTGCGCCATGGTTCCGTCTCATAAAGTTAGCTTCGGCTAATTCAATTCCAGCAATCCGGACTGTTTTCCCGCGAGAGTCGACAATTAAATAAGCGAAAAATAAAAATTAGCGATCGAAGAGGTTGAGGCGAGGAGCAAATTGGCAGAAGCACTCGGGCAAGAAAGGGGACGAAAATTACGGCACGTTCGCGTAGCAGCAGCAGCAGCAGGTGGTACACATGGTACAGGCGACACAGCGGTTGCCACGGCATCACGTTTCAAATTAGCCGCTATTTTCGTGACCACACGGACCACCATCGATCCACCTTTATTCGCCTCTTTTCCTTTTTGTAGTTACACACAGCGTGTCCGAGATTTCTATCTCCGAGGTTGTGTCGTATAGCGGGGATTTGAAAAGTGAAGCACGGAAACACGATTGTCGAGTGATTGTCGATTTCTGTCCTCGTTCTTACCGTTGACTTGCTTGTATTGTCGTGCAGGACTTTCAGCGTCAAGCAGAGCTTTTTTTATATAACTGTCTTTGCATTTGTGTCTCACACTCTAAACATGTCGATAAATGTCAAAATTCCACCCTCGTCATCCTCATTAACAAGCCAAAGAACTTTCGTCAAAGTGGCGCGTCATCAAGGAAGTCGTAATGACCTGGCGGCCAACTTTCGTCGCTCGCACAGCAGCCAGCTGTAGCGCTCATGTTTAATAAGCTTTCTTCACGTGCGCGTGTATATAGCTATTGTATTACACAGCTCCTGGGAAAATTACATGACGCACGCCAACATCACTCCGCAGATTATCTTCTCGTGGAAATCCGATAATTAATAAACCTGTTCGAGAGCGCGGCCAACAACTTTTCGATCCAATTTAGCCGGCTCGAAAATTTATTTTTGCAATTCTCGCTCCATCTACTGGCTACTTAATTATCGGAAATCGAACATTTCGTTGAACATCGCTCAAATTTTAATGATCCGATGAGACATTATTCGTCAAGTATATATTCAATTACATACATGGCAGTGGCATCGCCCGTGGTTGCCGTTTAAACTTGGTTGATTGAAACCTAAGAAGTCTGAGTTATTCGGTATTGCCTCAAATTTCATTTCACGATAAGCTGTAAACACAATATTAGTACAGGCAACAAGTAGAGTGCACAGTTGGACGGTTGCCAAAGGAAGGCAAAAAACGAAGAAGGCTCTCTCGAGCTTATTGCCGAGAATAAAGAAGCTCAATTTCACGCGAGCAGACTTTTTCCTCTGGACGCCCAACGCCGTCCATTAGTTTTTGTCACATGACAATGTATAGATCCCAGTGCTTCAGATTTGATTTTACGTCGAAAGATTGCATTAACAATGTTAACGATGTTCGATTTCAACGAAAATTTGTCTGGAAAGAAGTCAATGTAGAACAAAGAAGGACCCGTGTAAGAATTGCCATGACTGCAAAAACGGCCCAATACTGTTGGAGCACTGGCAACCGAACCTAGTTTTGTCAAGCACTGGACCGGCTTCGAGCCAACATAGAAATGATAAGAATGGTCCGAGCACCGGCAGCCAATACTGTACCAATAATCTATTTTTGAACGATTTTAATATTTTTTGTTTTCCGGCGCTGGCCCAATACTAATCGTTAATCATGATGCGCATGTTTATAAAGAATATTAATAATAACCTTTTAACCTAAAATATATGATAAGTATCGTGTTTTCCGAGTAGTTTTCATTATACCACGCAATGCTGAACAGTTATTCATATCTCAAAAAATCAAGATCCTTGAAAAGGAAAATTCTCTGTTCATCGTCGAGCACCAGCTGTAGCGACAATGGCAATATTTTTATAAAAAAACTTGATGCGCTTGACTTATCCCGTAGTACTACTTATCGTAGTATGTAAAATAATTCAATAATAAATAAAGAAAACGTTGACGCTAAAAAATGCGTTCTTATTTATTAGCTTAATAGTGTGGTTGTCCGACAAGACAAATATTGCGTTACCAGTACTGAGCCATGGTCAATGCGTCGGCAATGGCTCACTACTGAAAATATAACCTTGGCCCATTCTTATCATTTCGTTACCCGGATGACGTTGGACCAGCACTGGCGGCCTGTACTGGCAGTCTTGGTTAACGTTGCTGTGCCAATGTTGGGCCGTTTTGACTTTCTTACACGGGGAGAAGCCTGTCTACTCATCTGAAAATCCCGCCAGCTCGTAAAATCGCGAGCCAACGGCTAAGAGCTTTGCCGCGTTGTGAGCTGATTAATGAGCAAAAAAGAGAGAAAAAAATATACGGCCCGTATGGGACTCGTTTGCGCGTGTCCTCCACTCCTGCTCCTTCTTACCTCACCTTTTTCCCTCTCGCCCGAAAATCCAAACGTCCCATTTAATCTCCCACAATGTTTTATTTATCGACAATCGCGCGAGCGTGCTGCTGGAAATTTACGCTCGGCGCTGATTAATTGGCCTCGCGTGTAAATCGCACTGATTCTTTTTTCGTGGAAAAATACCGGGACAAGTATAGGCGCCGTTAAAAATCACCGACGAAAATTCATCGGCCAGGAAATAAAATCTCGCGCTTATAGGCTAGCAAATCCAAGCCGACGAGCGGCTTTGGTAACCACGCACCTGGTGGTGTATAACGGAACCGAGTTCATGGGAGAGAAAGAGAGAGAGAGAGAGAAGCGAAACGAGCGAAATAATTAAGGGCAGCTGATAGAGGAGGAGAAGGAGGAGGAGGGTGTGGTCGCGAGGCGAAATTGAATTAACCGGAGGCAGATATACACACCAGCGGCTCACCACATACCTCCTTCGACTACAGCTTACTCCTACGTGGCTATCCCATCTGCCTTTATACGATATTATTCTCTCGATTAACCCTTTTTCTTTCTTCTTAATTTCCAAATGATTATTTAGTGCGAAACTCAATAATACCCTCGTTTTACAAGGAACTGCAGGCTCAGCCAAGAATCCAATCGTACTTTAGTATTATAAGTAGAACAAACTACGCGTGGTCAGACGTGCGCGACCAAAAGAGAACTTTAACAATTCCAAAACTAGCGTATGTGTATCCATTCACTCGCGTGCAAGCAAATGAAGCGGCTAACGTTTTACATACAAACTACCACGATCTGCAAACGCAACATAAAATGCGTCATTTCTCTGTTTCTCGATCTCTCAGTCGGGAACGAGGAAGAGCCGCACACACCGTTCCCGAGCAGTAAAACCTCGCCGTCGCTCTCGCACAGCCGCGTGTAATTATTCGGAGAGTCAGAGCCCACCGAAAGTTCCGACAGCAACGCTCATAAAACGTCTAATCCCGCAGCTCACTGCACTCTGTTCGCGAATCGCGCGATAAGTCAAGCTCCTGCGAACGCAAGAGCGAGCGACAAGGCATTCCGTAAAAAACGACCACCTCTTAGTTAATGAGCTGCAGCAAATGATCGCGCGGTACGCATTCGATAAGCAGCGGCCGAGCACGCGGTGCAGCCTCGAATTTTCATTTAATTATGCAGCGGACGCACAATGGCGCTCGACGTGCAATTCCTTCCAGGACGTCCTATAAAGCTCGACGCTGCTGCTAACGTTAAAAGCGCGAGCGTAACTTGTGGTTTCTTCTTTGCTTTGCATAATCTCACGTTCCTAGTTCTCGCAGTCCGCGCTTCTCCTGCTCATCTTTCGTTTTAAAAATCCTGCCTTTTTTCGCCGCTCTCATCGTAAAGTATGCCTTTGAAAGTTGAGTGCACTGTGGTAGAGTGTGAAAATTATTTTTCGCCAAAGTTCGTTATCGAAGTAGAATCTATTCGTAATTTACTGTAGAGTACATTTTGCTACAGTTAAGGCATTGTCTGAAGCTTTATCATTTCCAAGTGTTGCTATTTGAATGAAAAACTTCATTTTGTTTGATTGTAATGTATTGACACGCAAATCTTATTCTCTTTCTTGAAAAACTGTTCAATAGACAATTTCAGCTCGTAATAATATTTCATTGTATAATTACGTGTCCTAATTGGATAT